TTATTTCCTGCCTCTGCCAGATAGCTATGCTCGAATCATAGCCTGTCACATAAGCCCTAGGAAGAGTTCGTCCTCGCTAGAACTCCGCTCATGCTCGAGGTCTGCTATCCAGCCTGGTTTGGTTGTGGGTTTCTTTCGCGGGTTGGATTCCTAATTAGGCCCAACGACTATTATTTATTATTTATCCCGATTGATGGGCTGATCCTGGTGATGTGCTTTGTTTTAATTCAATCTTGAGCCATGGTTGTGATCCATGGTACCATCACCTAGTAAGGAGAATATCATATTGTTACTATACCCAAAAAAATTAGTATATCGATTTATAGTACTCCCTCCGTCCCCCTAACTTTGTCCCGTTTTACCTTTTTCGTCCGTCCCATTATGTTTGTCCCATACCATATTTAGTAATATTTGGGTGGTTACAATTCATTCTTACTTTATTCACACTTTATCAATTCAATACCAACCACACAATTTCATTTTTCTTAAAAGTTGTGCCACACCCTTTCATCCCAAACATAGTGGGACGGAGGTAGTATATCGAAATCTTGGTATGACACAAACTACATAGTTGTATAAGGTTTGTGACCGGAAAAGGCGCTTGATCTCAAGTCCGACACAAACTACACAATATTTTATTAGTAGTATTTCAGGAGAAATCTCATACTTTAATTCCTCACAAAAGGGTTGGTCTTATACAGAGTATTATATTATCCTTTTTAGTGAATCCTTCACAATTCCTTTTCACCAAGTGCTTTTGGGAATACTCCATAAAAAGCGCTTGTTTGAATTTATAGTAATCATAAGGGAGATTTCCCAAAATAGGAGTAAATGGAGTTTGAAATTAAAAAATAGGACTACTATGTTTTCATTCCCGAAATGGGACTAACATGACAATATTTACTGTCATCTTGTAGACGTGACTGCCAAATAGTTGCAGTACAGTGCATTTAACATGACATTATTTATTATAATTAATGACAATATTTTCCAATTATGACAGTATTTTCTATACATGATAGTAACAATTTCTGTTTCGGGAAGAAAAACATGTTAGTCATATTTTGGAATTCCAAATCTCATTTGATTCTATTTTGGGCAATTTCCCTAAATGTGTGATCTCATATGAGTATTAATCATTATTGCTCACAAATGAAAGGTCATGATTAAAAGTTCTCATCATAAGAACTTCTCATCGTAGAATGTGTTCTCATTGAAACATAGGCCTTAAGAGTGATCGATTAAATTGTGAAGTTTAATTCATGGAAACTCTTTCTTATCAATTAGCTCAGAAAATGTTTGGATATCTTGAGTCATTTATAGTCCACAATTCTATATAATATGAATGACTTTTCATAAAAGAAGTTGTTTTAAAATTTGTTTGGAGTAATAGATTTTAATTATTTCACACAATTTTAAAGCGGTTTTTAAGAAAAATAAGAAATAAATTCAACTTTTTTTAATAAGTTTGTATTGAAAAAGTGCTCTTGAATCAGAGTTCGTATGTTTGACTGAAACCATTGCTCATGTTTTTTGTATTCATCTTTTTCCATTGGAGGAATACAAAAAGAAGTCTAGTGCTTTCACACACACACAAAGGAGCTCCCATCCATTACACACAAAAGTCTAATGAATTTTTCTTTTTTACTTTTTTCTTATACCAGTCATTTTTATATTAAATACTCTTTCGTATCAATTTAATGGATACATCATACTTTACACATTGTGATTGTTTGAAAAAACGTTTTACAAAAAGATGCACTTTTTAATGGTGTAACGGAAATGTATAATTTTTTTAAAATTGTATTGTGTTTTTTAGTGGATTTGTATTAAAAAAGAAAACGTTACAAGTAATTTGACACAAGTTGAAAAAGGGAAGTGAAACATATATTGTGATATGGAGAGTTCTAATTATTTGGAGTTCAAACGATCAACCTTACCAAAGGAGTAGTCCAACATCATATGTAGTGCTTTTTTTATATAAAAAGATAGTGCTTTATTAATTTATTGCAATTTGTTGTGCAATAAAAACTTCAATACGCCTTCTCAGCCCAAATCGGGCTTGACAACATCGGGGCGTATAAATGTGCCTAACAGACCTTTACTCAGATATCCTTAATCATGAGTGCTAAACAACAATCAAATCTTAACCTCACTTAGCTCTGATACCATGTTCAGACTCGGAATTTCATTCTAAAAGGTCAACCCTTGCAAAGACACTTGAAGTTTCCATTTCAACTACAAGAAGATATGAATTATCCCTAGACAAAACAACGCGTTTGGAAATGTCAAGTTATCGTGGAACACACTCACTTGTCTAGTATCTGGGTCGAATTTTACCAGTCTTCTAGTATTTTCCCACTGGAAATTATCTCTTAATTAGTAGTCCATTCATTGATAGTGAATGCTATTATCGTTGAAATAGACAAGTCCATTCACAAGATTGATGTCTAGATCATTAAAGAACATGGAGGAAATTCTTTGAGCTGAATTGGCAAGTTGGATTGCAATCTCGCCATTCATTCTCACTTTCATCTACATGAAATAAGCATTTATTATATGTAGTTCACAAGTCTTCGGATGAATTTTTAATAAGAGCAGTCTACCACAAAGCGACTCATTTTGAGTGTCGGTTATTTCATCCCACAATTGTTTATTCATGATGTGTAATGATAGCAAATTTAGTCCAGTATCACACAAATGTTTGCCATCTTAAGATTCTCCCATCGGAAACACCGACATATGGTCCTCTTCCGATACAATCAAATGCAACTCTTAGGGCCAGTGTTTTCGCTTGGTAAATTTATTTGATAGTAAAGGTGATGTGTTCAGTGCCATGGATACGACTAAATAAAGGGAAATACTACAAGGTTTGGCGAAACTAAATATACAATTATACATGTTAAGACTTAGAGTTTCATCCTAATAAGTCAACTTTATATGAAGAGTAGCTTAAGATCTCATATAGTGATTTATTATTTTATACCAATCTAGTGTGAGACAAATACTTCAATACGTCCCCTCAACTCAAATCGAGGTGGGTAACATTGAGGTGTATAAATGGATCAAACACACACTTAATGAGCTACTCTCAATCATGAGTGGCAAACAACAATCAAATCATAATCGGATTTAGCTTTGATAGTGCACAATTTTAAGATAACGTGGTTGTATGTCTCCTTTATAATTTTTTAATAGTTTGAGTGATTTGGTCTTATTTTTATCTTTTGAAAACCTATCAGTATTAGAGTTGTCATTCTTTCTTAACAAGAATGGGCATGGATATTTTTTCCCCCGGTTAATGCCACACTAGGTGGGGGTGCCGGGGAACACCTCCCTAATTTATTAAAATAAAGTTTTGGGTACAAAGGTTTGGGAATCCAAAAGGAGAAACAAGAAGAACAATACAAATGGAATTGAAAGGAAATGATACATCAACAATTGAAATTATTTTGAGGGATCCCAATTGAAGCCGAAAGCGATCTAATCCATTTTTACTCATGTGATCTATAAAATAGATTTTGACCTATCACATAGTACACATGATTAGGCAAAGGTTCAATTTGAAACACAAACAAGTTATTCTTCTTTTCAATTGTAAAAATAAAAAGAGACCCTTTCATGATCTTCAAAAACCATTTTCCCCACTTTCCCTCAAAAACTTCATTTTCAAGAGATGCACATGAAAGCAAGTTATAATATAAATCAGGAACAAGTCTAACCTCTTTCAATTTGAACAACAAAGCCATAAAAAAATCTAAGACATAAATCAACGGTTCCAAACACTTTGCATTTCTTTCCATAATTTGCCAATGACACCAAGTCATTCTCAATGTTCTTATAATTTGTAAAAAGAATTTTGAAAGGAGTCATATGAAAAGTACAATCGCAGTCAACAAACCAATCTAATTTGCATAGAGAATTAGAAAGCGCCAAGTCAAAATGTCCATGATCGCACAAATGAAGTGACAAGTTTCATGACAATTATAGTATTTTTCACTTTAGATCTAGATTTAGACCTACACTTCATATTTGCATATTTTTTCCCGAAAATTGTATTCTCCATTACTAGCATATTTTTGGTTATAACACGTATAAAGTCTTCCCCCATCATGCATCACATCAATTGATTTTTTACTTCCCCTAGAATGCATGAAGCAATTAGCACGAACACAGAGGGAATAACAATGAACACAAAACTCATATCAAATCTATAAACATCTAACATTGTAGATATCAAATATCATAAAACCTAAATGTGATCTAGATTGTGTTTTAGACATGTAGTAACGATTACAAAGAAAGGTTTTGGTGTTATTAGAACATCTCTAATGTTACAATGTGAACAGTGCACAAGTGATATAAGATGATTAACACATATATATTAATGAGTAATATGTATATATATCTCATTATATAAAAGATCTTATGTTTTTGATATATTTTTGTCCACAATTTCAAAACGAATATCTAAATGTAAACATTGTGATTGTCATTATTGTGAAAAAATTACTAAAATTATACGATAGTACTCCCTCCGTCCCAATTTGATTTGCAAAATTGTTTTTTCTGGTTGTCCCAAAATGGTTTTCCACTTTCTATTTTAGGTATGTAAATAAGAATAAAGTGATAAATTTACCCTTACTTTTACTTTTTCCCCATTAACTTAAAGACGTCTACATTTAGAAAGATGATCAAAAGTGTAAAAAACAAATATCATTTATTGTCATTTCTTAATCCTCGTGCCAGTCAAAGTTTGCAATTCAATTCGGGACGGAGGGAGTATAAAATAGTGGAAAAATTCTTAGTAGATAGGTATTATTGTATTACGTAGTACGTAGTATTTTTGCATCTTTTTTACTCCATCTGTATCTATTTACTTGTCACATTTTTCTTTTATGGTGTATCAAATTAATTGTCTCATTTCTTTTTTTGGAAAGAATCCTAGGGTACGGCTACATTATAAGTAAATGACTTGTCTGTTCAAGGGAACACTTAGCAGACAGCTGAGCCGCCACCTTCATCGTACTTACGTTCAGCCTCTCTTCTGGCGGGAACAACAAAACACCGCATTCTCTTCACGCTTCTCATAGTTTATGCTCCTAAAAACCAGCAACGCGATGTCCTGGTTAACAGTAAAGAACGTCGTCATATCAGTCTCTGGCTGGCGGTATTTGCTCCACTTTCTCCGGCCGCCTCTCCACCGATACTGCTGCTCGGTTTCCTCCCCGCATTTTCCTATGTGAGAATCACCCTCTTCCAACATATAATCTCAGATGGTGAATTTCTCTGAGTTCACCATTTCAAATTGTTTCACGAAGAACCTCTGCATTGGTTGCTTCAGAAAGTGAACATTTTTTTTAGAAATTTCGCAATCGTGTTCACATTTCCGGTACCTTTTCCCCGGGCAGGAGATGGAAAGAAGCTCAAACTTGTTAATTTATGTCTATTTTAGCATATCCAAAACTCTGATATTTTCATTATACCATTTTTAGATTCAAAGGCCTGAATTTCGGATATATATGTCCGTCAGTCTCTTAGGCAACAACCTTAAAAAATTGGAGCTATAGAAATGTGCATTTGACTTGCATTTTCTGAGAACTTCATAGGCTCGAGTGGAGTGAAAACCTCATCATGGCTTCATGTTTTTATTGGTCAGCAGTGTGGGGGAAGGGATGACGGGACGGATGTCATATGTGAGGCTTTGTGTGTGCAGACAATGTTACCCATAGAAGAGTTGCAATGCGACTAAGTGTGTTGTGAAGATAGTTGTATTTTAATTAACGTGAAGATAGGTCAATAAAGACATTAGAAAAGAGCAAAAAAATGATTGAAGGCAAGAGGCAATAGATGGTCTAATTAATGATGTCCTGAGCATCATTTAGGTAAGTATAATGTTACTTGTCAGGTCATCCAAAGTCTGTCTAAGATTCTGTAGAAGAAACAGAAGTCAAACATATAAAGAAAAAATGAAAAATTGATAAAGCGTAAGTATAAATTAATAGCCACAATTGAAAGGGAAATGCAAAAAAAAAAATCATGAAAGGGAGAATGCCTGGAGACTAGTACATACTTATAGTAGCTTTTGAAGTGAAACAACAAAAAGTGCACAAGAAGCGTAATGTTAACACAAGAAGTGTGAGCCAGTAGTAGGCAAGAGCCATTATATGCTAGGATGAACTGCTGAAGTAGTGCTACTCATTGGCTGATATGCTGGTGTTTGTCCCTTGGTTTCTTCAAATGTTTTTGGAAGTGCACCCTTGCATGTTTGTACTTAATGTCATGCAGAGCAGAAAAATTCATTGTGTTCCACCCTTTCCTAAATGTTACCATTAGAATCTCTAAGAGACAGATAGTCCAATCACTTTCATCCGCCAATCAAAAAGTTTAGAAAATGAATAGAGTAATACATACTATTGCAGATTCAGTGAAGTGGTTGGTTATTGTATGATGCTCCTTATATCCTTTTAAGGTGGAGGATAAGTGACTCAATTATTTATAAGAAATTGTACTACTTCATATATCATTATATCTGATCACTGATCATTTAAGAGAAGTAATGATCCATTATTATTCTAATATTCTGTGTCTCTGTGATAACTAAAGAGTCAATATAATCTCATGTACAGTTTATATCATTTCAACAAATGTCAGCACTTAGTAATTTTAATTCTGTTTTCTTTATCGCTCAATGCAAAACATAGTTGATACATGTCAAGCTATAATATTTTTATAGCACTTGGCGGTGTGACCAGATTCATTGCTTCAACCGGAAAAAGCTTTATGCAACGTCTGCAATTACAAACAGGCACTTAGAGAGTGTACCCGAAGAAAAGAACTATGCTCACATTATGTGGTGGAAGGAGGTAGGCTACATGATTCATGAGTGAATTGCTTCATTAACTGTTTCTGCAATCTGTTTGTTCAACATATGACACACTCATCTTTATAATACCCGAATGTCTTCATATTCTTGATTTAATATTTCAGACAGTGGAGAGGTCGAGAAAGCCTTCTTCTATTAAACTAGTTAAGAGGCTCACATATTCTAATTTGTTGGGTGTAAATTCAGACTTAAGGAACGGGAGGTGGGTTTTTTCATTTGTTGTTGTGAACATTACGCTTTCACCCCTTTACATGTAGTAGTGCTTAGTCCTTATGCTCATCACTCAATTATTCCTTTTGTTATGGAAATTGGAAAAGGATCAACTAGGTTTTAAACCATGAAAATTTTATGTTTGTTACAGTTTGAAAGAAGGAACACTTAATTGGGAGATGTTGCAGTTCAAGTCTAGATTTCCTCGTGAGGTTTTGCTCTGCAGAGTATGCAATTATAACTTCTTCTCTTACACCTTTTTATGTCTAAGGGAAGTTATAACTTCATATTGGATTCATGTATCAGATGGTAATAATCACGAGTTTCATGTCGTTTTGTATATTCCAGGTAGGTGAGTTTTATGAGGCTGTAGGTTTTGATGCTTGCATCCTTGTGGAATATGCTGGTTTAAATCCATGTGGTGGTCTTCGTTCAGACGGCATACCGAAAGCTGGCTGTCCTGTTATGGTACTGTAATTATTATTCCTCCATACACGCTTTCTACCTTTCAAAATTATTAATTATATATAATACCAATTGGCCTGTTGCCACTTTTTTTTTTAACTTTGTACAAAGAGAAAATTGAATCAAATATAGCCATGTAGGTTATAGATTTAGTGTATTAATCAGCTTCTTTTGTTATTTGAAATGATTGACTTATATCATACATAGGGCTACTAAATGTATGAACGAGAAAATAAGATTTTAATAATCATAGAGTGCTCTTGTTGTTTTACTTCAAAAGCTACTAAAAGTATGTACTAGTCTCCAGACATTCTCCCTTTCATGTTCTTTTTTATGCATTTCCCTTTCAATTGTGGCTATTAATTTATACTTACGCTTTATCAATTTGTCATTCTTTCTTTATATGTTCGACTTGCTGTTTCTTCTACAGAATCTTAGACAGACTTTGGATGACCTGACAAGTAATGGATTTTCAGTTGTAAGTACCATAACACAGGTGTACTACTTTATGACGGGCTGCGTTTTACTGCTTAGTTATACTGATTCCATTTTTTTTACCATGCTTTCTTATTATTGAATTACAGTGCATTATTGAGGAAGTTCAAGGCCCAACTCAAGCTCGCTCTCGTAAAAGCCGCTTTATATCTGGGTAATTATTAAATCGCAGTTTCTTGTTGTAATCTTAATCTTAATCTAAAGCTTCATAGCTATTCTGACTAAAATTGGAAAAGAATCACCTGTTCCATATTTGCTGAACATGAAAAGAATGAGGTGGAAATATCACATATTTTTCTGCTTGTGGAATCATCTATACCTTAATACTTTCTAATTTTAGTGCAGCAACCTAATGATGTTGTAGTTTATTTCTGATTTATCATTTATGTTTAACTTTGCATGTAGAGAATAAATTTCATAGCTTCGTACTCTTTTACCCGTTCATTCAGAATGATTTTTTTTCTTTTGATGAAACTGGTATTTGGATTAAAGGTTCTTAGAAATATGAAGGAACATGGATCCATTAGCATATATGATAATATGTTTTTTGTTGTTGTTGTGGGCATGGTGAGTTGGATTTATTTCTATGCTGCATAAGTTATATAGTTTATTAGTTTCCAATCTCTTTGATATTACTCTCTCACAGACACTCTGTATGCCCCCCTTTTTTATGTCGGGTGTTTTATGGTTCTGGATTACAATTGTTAGACCATACAAGAAAAGGGGAGGGGAGGGAAGGATAAGTGTATAACATCATAAGAAAGGCACACCATATTTCGAAGCCTTGTTAGAAAATCAGGTTGGCAGAGGTTTTGGGAGCTGATTTTAGTTTTCAGGAGAGTGAATGGCATTTCTGCTGTGGAAAAAGAAAAGAGAGCTAGTTGGCTGTCTGGTGGTTCATTTGTCTTGAAATAGGGGGAAAGCATGTTATTTCTTGAGCATTTCTACGCTACAGATATTCCTGGAATTTAGATTCAATGACAGAAGCTGTCTCATTGAATGTGCAACCATATCAATGTGGCTGTGAATTAGGTCTAGGATAACTCAAGATGGATATGGCAACTCAAGGTGGATATGGCAACTCAAGGTGCACTTATAGCCCCTAGTAATGAATACAACGTTAAAATACCTTAAGTCCTTACCTACTTCAACACACCCTCTTCAAACTAGTGCATGTACGTAATACGTTCAGAGGTGCTGCAAGCTTGTTACATAGATATTCGAACCTAGTCACCAACAATTGATCTCAGGAAGTAACTGTTCACCAAACAAGTGGCAACAACTTCAATATGTTTGTTATTTCTTGAAAACCATATCTATCTATAGGGGCTTGTTAACTGCCTAATACTAATCAACTTTTATTGAAGATATAGCTCTCACTTTAAAATTTATAATCATTTAGGCATGCACATCCTGGCAATCCTTACGTATTTGGACTTGTTGGAGATGATCACGATCTTGATTTTCCAGAGCCAATGCCAGTAGTTGGTATGCTAAAATATCCACTATGATCTGCTTTTATTTGCTTTTATAACTTTGCCATCTTTCCTTTTCTTTTCTTTTAAAACATCCACTTCCCCTTATAAGCAGATTTTGTAGTTCCTATTATTTATCTCCTCTTCACAAACCTAACCACACAGTTTTTACTTTATTATTCCACACACCAGTCAAACTTGGCAAAGTTAAAAGGGACGGATGGAGTATTATTTTTATTGTATTTGCCAACATTCCAGTCATACATCCATACTATTTTTTTTGTGGGACTTTAGACTAATTAGATTCAGTTTACTAACTTGTTGTCCTAGGAATATCTCATTCAGCTAAGGGGTATTGCATCACATCTGTTTTAGAAACTACGAAGACTTACTCCACTGAGGATGGGCTTACCGAGGAAGCCTTGGTTACTAAGCTTCGGACTACTTTGTGCCATCATTTATTTTTGCATACTTCATTGAAAAACAATTCATCAGGTTTGCGATGCCACTCTCTTCTTTGACCTACTTTAGTCTTATCCATTCAGAGTTACAACTAGTTGGGATTCTGGATACAATCTAGCATCATCACTGTATAGCCAGAGAATATTGCTAGAACCCTACAATTCTTTGTCTTCCAAGTGGTTGAATGGTTTTTTCTTTTTTCAAATGTTAATATAATTGAAACAGAGCATTATTGTTACCATTGAGTAACTAATCCAAACAAATGTTAGAAATTTAGGGGTGGGTTTGCACTTTTCATTGCATTAAACTTGGTGAGAATATTGATAGACTGTGTCAACAATTAGTCAATTACCATGACTGGTGCTCTTGATTATCAGTGTCATTCTGTGACATAGTTCATAGTATCGCTTCACCTATTTGGTCTGTCTATCCAAGTATCCAATTATTTTGTTCAGTATTTGAGTATTTCATCATGCTGGAAGTTTTTTTCATTACGTTTGAGATTTTCTTGCAGGGACTTCTCGCTGGGGGGAGTTTGGTAATGGTGGTCTGTTGTGGGGAGAATGTAATGCAAGAAACTATGAGTGGTTGGATGGTGATCTAACCAATGAGCTCTTGTCTAAGGTCTATTGAATATTTGAGTGGTTATTTATGCATCTTTGCGTGCCATGTCCACCTTTCATGCACTAAACACCCAATTTTCAGGTGAAGGAAATTTATGGTCTTGATCTTAACGCCACATTTAGAAATGCTACTGTTGTGTCAGAAAACAGACCCCGTCCGTTGCACCTAGGAACTGCTACCCAGATAGGTACAGGTTCAAATGATAATAATTTTTATTATTAGTGAATGAATTTTCATTGCGTTCTAAAACAGCTATGCTGAATCGTATGATTAGGTGCTATTCCGACTGAAGGAATTCCTTCTTTGCTAAAGGTGTTGCTTCCTGCACATTGCACAGGTCTACCTGTCCTGTAAGTGGGATATAGATATTAAGTGCAACTGATCTTATCCTATCTTACTAATAAGATAACCTCTAATGACTTATGAGTACCCTAGAGATGTGTTATTAACCTTTTTCAAACCTTTCTTATAATCAAAATTTGACCTTTTATATTCGAACATGTAACCTTCTTCTTCACTCCGAGAGCCACCCTTTATTTTGAGAGAGAGAGAGAGTAATTATCAATAAATATCAGATTTATTTTGAGTGAGAACACTTGAGTTGTATGAAGTGAGTATATATAATGCTTTTCATTCTTCTACACACGCATTACTCGTGAATACGGTGATATGTTAAAATGAGGCTGTAGGACAGTAATTCTTTCAAAGTAATCATAATTTTACCACAAAGAGATAATGCTCATGCATTGAAAAACTTTTGCAAAATGTTCAAACATTTCGCAAAACTTTCGGGTTAGACAAAGTTTCTTGTTCTATTTTTTTCAAAGTTTGCAGTAATCTTGTATGGATCAACTGCCATTTTACTATGTTTAATTTGAAAACTGTAAAAGTTAAATATGGAGAGATTTTAGCATCATTCTGAAAGGACTTAACTTTCTTTGCCAAGATGTATTGTGCGTGAGTTTGTGAGCAGAAGGGGAGAGAAAGTTTCTCCCCCGTCTGCTGACAAGAGTAGAAAGAGAGAGAAAGACTTGACCTCGTTGAAGCCTCACATGTTTAAATGACTAAGGGAGTGCTATTATTTTGTTCCATCCACGAATAAGTATAACTAAGGGTACAACTGTACATCTCTTGACTTTCACACTACTTCTTGACTTTCTACTTTTGTCCATCTCTTGATGTTTTCACCACATTTGGCCTTTATGTTTTTTCTGTATGATTTCTTTATTTTCATGTCTCTTATAGTGACACTGGATGTTGAGTATCCTTGAATTTATTTTGTTATTCTTTTCCTTTCAGGTATATAAGAAACCTGCTCTTGAATCCACCTGCATATGAGATTGCATCCAAAATACAACGTACTGCCTCAGTTTGTAAACATTATGCCTTTGTTCTGCATTGTCTGGAGGTTACCTAGATCACTGATACCAGCAGTGTGAAGCTTCCAAATGTTTCTCTGAGGGATTCAAATAGGGAAAGGGAGGGATATTTTTTAAAGTTCGAAGTTAAAACTGGAGAATGATGTTAATAAATTTTTATGATGATAATATGTATTACAAGAGAGTGATTTTTTAATTAGCAACATTTTATTACACTTGGTTTTTTGAACACTTAACTTTTAATAATGTTCTCCCCCCCTCTTCCCTCTAATTCCTCTATCCAAATAGCTTTTTTAATTTGCAGCACCTTATCACTCTTAGTTTTTTAAACATTCAACTTTTCAAAAAGTTATCCCTCCTCCACATCGAAATATATTTCGTATGTCTGTATGCACGATTTCACAAAATTCTCAACCCAAATATATTGTATGCATGCCTGCATACATGATTTCTTTAGTTTTTTAATTCTCTCCTATTTTTTGGTATTCTTTTTTTTGTTAATCCCAAAATTATGATCACTTCCTTAATTTGAAATCTACTACTTTTTACTTTTCTATTTTATTCCCTTTTTATCTACCCTTTCACCTTTTACCTTTTGGGGAGCCATATTACTTTTTCATCTTTTTTAAAATGCTACAATTGCAAGGAAACAATTATCTTTTTTATTATTTGTGAATTCGTGTCAAACTTATCTTACATTCTTACATTATGGGGTGATGAGAGTAAATGTTATTTATGGGCGTGTCCTTCAAATATTCTGAATTTTTATTCCTAAACTCTTCCTTCGTTTCATAGTTTATTTAGGGCATGCTATTCTTCTCCTTTGGGGTTTTACTCGTGTAGTGGGGGGATGGAGTATATGTAGTATGTGCCTGGATTCTGTTGTTTATTATTAAAACTATTTGTAATAGTTGCTTGTTATTATGACTAAATTATGAATTGTTATTATTTTTAATTATTAAATAAAAATAATAGTAATAATAACATTTGGGTTCCTTTTTGCTTCAAGCATTACTGGGTTTCTGGGCTCTTCTTTCTTTTTTTAGATTCTTCCATTATCATTTTTTGGTGAATGGTGGTAAAAGGGGTCTGAGTGTTGACTGTGAGAAAGAACATTGATTATGAATGTTCTCTAGTTTTTGACTGTTTTCTATGTGTGATATAAGTGCATGGTACAAATATCTACTTATATTCTCTGTAGTAAGGTTGGGTATGTTTTTGCAGAAGCATGCCGACTTATGATGAGCGTAACCTGTTCACTTCCTGAATTTACTTGTGTGTCCTCCTCAAAGGTTGTACTTCATTACTTCCTAAGGCTTTATTTCTTCAAATTCCATGCATTCAAATATACTTCAATTTTGGGTAAGCCGTAAGCCTTTCATTTTCACATTGTGCCCACTCATTGGCTCATTGCACATGTCATCTTTGACTATTATCGGCCTTACTTACTTTTGAAGTTATTCGCCTGTTCAATTTTCATTACTTTGTTGGAATATGTGGTCAAGCTACTTTGAAGAGCATTAGTTGATCCTCTGCAATGGTTATCAGCTATTTATTACTACCTCCGTCCCAATTTGGTTTGCAAAATTGACTTTTTTTGGTCAAAGAGTTTCATTTTATTCACTTAATTAGGGTGTCAAATTTTAATTATATTCTAATTTGGAGTTTACAACTTTGAAGAGATTTTAATGTAGTTTCTGAATATGTAAATTTTAATTATTAAAAAATGAATTAATTATCAATTTGGTTGACCAAATTGATAATTATAGGTTGACCAAAACATGTTGACTTTGCAAATCAATTTGGGACGGAGGGAGTATGTAATATCGCACGAAATACTGATGGAAAGTATCCCACGAAAGTTCAATTCTTTTTTAGTGAAACATTTGTGTTGATTAACATGAATCAATGAGGTTAAATTTTTTGTGTCAGATAAATATAACTGCTGTGCATTATGCAAAGACATCTCTTCTCGTACCCTGCTTCTACAGTTCTAATAAAATGATTTTTAATTGTTTCCCATCATTAATAGTTTTGAGATATTATTATTATTTAAATATTTAATATTCTAAGGTTTTTCTTTCTAAATTTGTTTGCACATTTTCACGTCTAGTTTTTTAACATTTTTATTGGCATGGTATTTATTTTCTCTATTTTTGCAGCTTGCCAAGTTGCTCGAGTTGAGGGAAGCAAATCATGTAGAGTTTTGCAGAATAAAGACTATGCTGGATGAAATACTGCAGATGAATAGACATAATGAACTTGCTCAAATTCTACATTTATTGATAGATCCTACTTGGGAGGCTACTGGCTTAAAAGTTGACTTTGATTTGCTGGTAAGGATTGCTGCTTCTGCTGTTTTCTCCCCTAAGTTAGCTTCCAATCTTAATGAAGAATGGATATTAATGTTGGGAAAGACCACTAAACGGCCATCCCACACCCCATCTCCTAAAAACAAAGAAAAAAAGAAAAAAAAGCCAAAAAAAAAGGGATTCTTGCCTAGATGGTCCTGACATTTTCCATGGTATGGATTTCAGTCGATACATTGAGCTCTTGTAAATTGCAGTGGTGCTTAAATCATGCTATTGTTATTACTTTTCAAGTTGACAAGCAATTTAGTATTGATGACACAACCCCTTTGGCATAGAATGATTAAGATGAGTGCTGTTTTCTACAAATCAATTGGTTTGTTGCACAATTAGGATTCAATTATTATGCTTAGTGTGAATTCTTTTTTAAATTAGTACCGAAAGTAAATAGGAATTTCACAAGTTCAATAATAATATATCTTGGTGAAGTCAATGCTTACTTGGTATTTCATATATCTAAAGCTCAAATGACTTTTTTCCTTGTCCATTTATATTTCTTTTGGTTTAGGTATGCTCTATATGTCCCTGAAACGAATGTTCCATATCCTGATTTGTATCTTTTATGCTTGTTTGGGTGTTATTCTTTTTCAAGCTAATAATGTTCCAACGTCTCTAGAATCTTTTTATATCTTTCTTTCAGGTAAATGAATGTAAGAATGTGTCTAGTACAATTGGTGAACTTATTTTTCTAGATGGAGAAAGTGATCAGAAAACAAGTTCCTCTTCTATTATTCCTAAAGATTTTTTTGAAGACGTGGAGTCTTTATGGAAAGGCCGTGTCAAAAGGGTTCATTTGGAGGACGCTTACGCAGAAGTTGAGAGGGCAGCGAATGCCCTATCATTAGTTGTAAGTTCTTCACCCTTTCCAAAAGAGGAAACTGTATCTCTGATTATATGTGCCGAGTTTCCCTATCTTTCTCGCTGTCTAGATTCTTTCATTGATGTGTTATTGTACTACTTTTTGTGTGTGCTCTAAATGCCTATACAGGTTGGATATATTAGTTGGATAAACACATGGGATACCATACCATGGCTAAGAATCCTATATTTCAAGACTCCACTCTCCGTATGGCAACATTTCTAAACAACTGATGTGCCTGAATCAACACAACTAGATTTCCATTATTTTATCTTTAATAAACACTAATCCACTACACCCATAACCTGTGAATCTCCTTATTGTGCACTCTAAGATTATTTTACTCTCATCGTTACTAACTATAATATTACAAACAATAAGACTTATATATACATATGCTCTGAAATTACTAACCATGAAAAGTTATAGACGATATGACTTGTATGCATACTTATTAGTTACGGAGTACTATTTACATAATCTAGCTGTAACTATAAGTTACACACCCCTATAAATATTTTACATAGCCTAATTCTTTACATTTTTTCGGTTGCCATGTCTCTGCATAAAACACATTCAATGAAATTGTTGAAAAAAGGATGTTCATCTGAAATTTTTTCTTTACTAGGGAATAAAGGGATGAGAAGATTTTTTTAGTTGTGAAGACGGTAGGGTAATCATAGGATCTATGATGTAATTTGTGTGGAACATCCAACAGCAAAAACTTAGCTGTACAGCCTTTATGGATCTCTGTGTTCTAAGCTTGCTCATGATTCAAATATTCATAATGAGCATGGGTCAAGTGCTAGGTAACAAGCGGTTAAGTAGGAGAGACATCTCATCATCATCATCATCATCATCATCATCATCATCATCATCATCATTATCATTACCCCAGTGCCACAAAGGCTCCCACACCTTCGGTGGGGTAAGGGGGGGTCGGATGTACGCAGTCTTACCCCTGTACTAAAGCACAAAGAGACTGTTTCCGGATGACCCATAGTGAAAATCGCGTTGAAAATTGCATGGACTGACCATTGCTTCATAACAAAGAAGCACAAACAGTTTAGTAAGCCATTTTGCTTTATTCCATCATTTTCCCAAGCCAAAAAATAGTGAGTCTTTGGCTCCATTGCAAATCATGGAAAAAAGTAGGAGAGACATCTAATCTGATAAAATTGTGTAAATGAGTTTTTAGGTTACAGAAGATTTCCTGCCTATTATTTCGAGAGTAAAGGCCATGAATGCTCCACTTGGAGGGCCTAAGGGGGAGATTTTGTATGCTCGAGATCATCAGGCAGTATGGTTCAAAGGGAAGCGTTTTATTCCTTCTGTTTGGGCTGGGACCCCTGGAGAAGATCAAATTAAACGGCTGAAACCTGCTGTGGACTCAAAGGGAAAGAAGGTTGGGGATGAATGGTTTACCACAATGAATGTGGAAAAAGCATTAGCAAGGCAGGTTTTTCAGATGCAATAAAAAGCTCTGCATGTTTTCTTCGTGCAATAAATGTTTTTTCCCCTGTAAGTGTAAACTTCAGATATTGTTTCAGATATCATGAGGCTAATGCTAAGGCCAAGCTGGAGGTACTGGAATTGCTTAGAGGGCTTTCTTCTGTGTTACAAACTAAGATCAATATCATTGTCTTTGCATCCATGCTTGTTATAATTGCGAAGGCCTTGTTTGCTCACGTGAGGTCGGTAAACTTACTTATCTGCACAACATGTTCCTCTTCCTTGGACCATCTGTAGATTGATATACTCCTGGTATACTTACCCGCTTCTTATATTAAGTTATGAGGTTTTCTATTGCCACAGTTGTTGGATTGAATTATTACTGGGCAGATATACTAACTAAATCTATCAGACGGCCTAGATTGAATACATATGTCGCAAGTTTAGAGCCTATTATATTGCGTTATGCATGCTCTAAGTCTCTAACTGGAGCAGTGTTTAGAAAAATATAATGAGAAATTTTACAAAATAGGACTATTACTTATCAAAATTTCAAAAATAGGACATCCACTTTTCCCCCGACTCGCATAGGATCAAATATGCGCTGAATTGCCAAAAATGACCTCATTAAACGATACACACGTACTCTTCCCTTATTTGACGGTTAATTCTTTCCCCCGGCTATTCCCGGTTTCCAAGCATCCATTATGATCATGGCCGCCGAAAAAGAGATTTCAAATTAAATGAGCATGTATCGGAACGGTTGAGAGCTGCGATTGAAGAGACCAGTCATTCGACGACTATCAAAAGTGCACTTCGATTCAAAACTTCAAAGCACAGAGGTAGTAAACCTTCGTCTTAGACGACGCTCAAATTTGAGGAGAGTAAAATCGTTGAGTAGAGTTGATGGACAAAGCTATGGATTTGTCAAACAAAGTTTCCGTCAGAATCAATTCCGAAATAGTAAGTAGTAATTTCGTTGAGTAGAGGAATGTCTGAAATTGACAAAAGTTTGACAGTTAAAGGAGTTTAGAAAGTTTAAATCGTTTGAATGTAATAACATTTCATTGCATCATGTTGTTATATGGTGGCATTTTAAGTGTGTATGAAGACTATGGTTACATTTTGCGTGAATTAGTTATACTTTATGAATATGCGTTTGTTTGAATTAGAACTTCAGAATGTGACGCATAAATGACAGTTTAGTGAGAATTTAGCAGATCATTTTTAGTTTGTGATGTTGTTATACAACAGAATAGTGCAAAATAAAGAAGTATATGGTGGCATTTTGTATGAAAAGTGACATTCCACTAATATGTGGTTATATAATGGGGTTGTAAGTATGTATCATTACTGTGATGACAGTTTGCATGAAATAGTGACATTTTATGAATATGTCTTAGATTGAACGGAAATTAACACAACATTGAATTGGAAATTGAAAGTCTGACACATAAATGACAGTTTAGTGAGAATTTAGCAGATCATTTTTAGTTTGTGATGTTGTTATACAACAAAATAGTGCAAAATAAAGAAGTATATGGTGGCATTTTGTATGAAAAGTGACATTCCACTAATATGTGGTTATATTGTGGGGTTGTAAGTATGTATCATTACTGTGATGACAGTTTGCATGAAATAGTGACATTTTATGAATATGTCTTACATTGAACGGAAATTAACACAACATTGAATTGGAAATTGAAAGTCTGACACATAAATGACAGTTTAGTGAGAATTTAGCAGATCATTTTTAGTTTGTGATGTTGTTATACAACAGAATAGTGCAAAATAAAGAAGTATATGGTGGCATTTTGTATGAAAAGTGACATTCCACTAATATGTGGTTATATTGTGGGGTTGTAAGTGTAGCATTACTGTGATGACATAAAAAATGTGACATTCCACTAATATGTGGTTATATTGTGGGGTTGCAAGCTTCTATCCATGGTTTGAATGACATAAAAAGGTAGAAAATGCATCATCCTTCCCTGTGACTAGATTAAACATAGAGCCAGGATTTGTTTTCTCAAGCACATAAGCCATTGAAGGCAAAAGCTGATAGGATTCAAGATCAGAACCAAATTGCAGCTGCATTGCTTTCTTCTGTGCTTTCCTGATAGACATCCAGCTCAGCAGCCCACTCAGTATTTTAATAAAGTGTATCAAAGGAGGAGCCGGAAGATAGTTAGTTAAATAGCTAAGTAACTATTAAATGATACTTTATCCCTGCGTGGATATTTTTACTATAAATAGAATAATAGAAGTTGTTTGTCAGTAGGCTGTTATTTGGTTGTGAACTTGGCTTTTGGAGATTGGGCGTCTCGAATAGTCCCTGAGCACTGTATCCCCGTGAACTGTTCAGTTGGAGAATAAACCTTTCGATCTGATCTTCTACCTTGTTATTGAATTCTTACTTTTCTGCTTTGAAAGTTATCTGTGATCTAACACTGGTATCAAAGCACTCGTTCCTGGTGATCGGAAGTGTTCCGCTATCCTCAGAAAATATTACGTACGGTGGTGGATGGTACGGACGAGAGCCAAGATGGAGTTTCGCGTAGAAACTGTGGAACAGAACATCGCAGAGATACAGGGAACACTGTTGGAGGTACAGGAAGGAGTACGATCAGTGGTGGCTGATCAACGTGTTGCACTGGATAATTTGGCGGCAAACATGGCGGCATCCATAACCGCGTTGACTGAACAGCTGCGATCCAGAGAGAGATCGCGATCGCAAGTCCGAGTTCACACGCGACGATCTTACAGCCCTGCGACTTCAGGAGGTAATCCAGACCACTCTTACATTCAAAATCACAGAAGGACCGAGGATATTCATAGATTTCCAGTATACACAGGCAGAAAAATTGATTTACCGGTTTTTAATGGGGAAGGTGCGTATAACTGGATTGTGAGGATGGAGAGATACTTTCGATTGAATCATATTAATGAAGAAGAACAGGTGGAAGCTGCATTAGTTGCGATGGAAGGTAGGGCTGTGAACTGGTTCATTTGGTGGGAACATCAGACGGAAAGAAAAAATTGGGAGAATCTGAAGGCTTCTATTATTTGGAGGTTTCAGTCAGATTTGATTTAGAATCCTTATGGACCCATGCTTAGCTTGAAGCAAACTGGAACTGTTAAGGAGTTTAGAGATGAGTTTGAAATGGTGATAGCTCCTCAAATCAATGTGGATATGGAGATCCTTAAGGTAATTTTCCTTAATGGTTTGAAGGAGGAGATAAAAGCTGAACTTAAACTACATAATTCCACATCCTTGAGTGAAATTATGGACAGAGCCCTATTAATTGAGAGTAGGAATGAAGCTATATATCAGAAGAGAAAGGAGGAAGACCGGGTACTTGGGAAAGAGAAGGGGACTGCAGCCGTGAAATCACAAGTCTGGACGGAGGGGTACAAGTTGGAGAATAAACCTTTCGATCTGATCTTCTACCTTGTTATTGAATTCTTACTTTTCTGCTTTGAAAGTTATCTGTGATCTAACATTTCCAAGTTTTGTTGTATGACATGGAAATTCCATACTGCATACTCATGTCCTCACGAATTTGCTTTGGGGGGTATGGTTTATTGGAAGCATGAAGGTATTTTTGTGCAATAATATTTGCTATCACACGAGCAGATGCCTGTCTATGTTTGCCTTGTCTGTAATCAATAGAGCATGTGTGAACTGGCCGGAATCTGAAAAGAAAAAATGACATTAGTATACAAATACATAATATGAAGTTGACAGTCCTGTATAAGAATGTCAACACAACATGACATTCTTATAAACCAGAATTTACAATGAAGTGAATTAAAGAAGGAAAATTGAAGTTACCTTCTGATTTGAAACATTGTTACGCCATGTAGTTTTACAGCTCGAACACTCCAACAACATTTTGGATCTAAGCAAATAACATGCAAACATATTTTCTTCGATGTCTTAGTTCTGTATTGGAAGTGGTTTGTGATAGCATACATCTTCAGATGGTGGATAAGTTCTTTTTTATTTTTGTAAATAGCATGGAGAAGAAGACAAGTAGGATGGGACTGTGTGATGATTTCAAAATTTTGGAGAAATGAGAATGAGTCAGATGATTTAGTTAAAAGGCCATCTGACATATCATCTGACATGTCATCACTGTCTTCAGATGATTCATTTTCTACAGTTGCAGACACAGTGTTACCACAAGAAACAATATCTTTGGATTGGCCACAACTTACCCCAGATAGCATAACATTTTCATATTGACCAAATGGTGGGCCATCATCAAAAGAAAGTGCAGGGGAGGAGGAATGTAGTTGGGCAGAAGAAACAACAACATTCTCATAAGTGGTATGTTGTTGTGAAGCATGGGGAGAAGAAACAACAACATTGTCATCATAAGGGGTATGTTGCTGTGAAGAAATGACAACATTTTCAGACCAAGGAGAAGCAGATGGTCCAACATCAATAGAAAATGCAGGAGAAGATAAAACAGGATAAAACTCAACACAAAGTGGATACAATGAAAAATCTGGTTGAAGAGACTTGATATAAAGATAAAATGTTAAGGTAGATTGATCATTTATAGTAACAGGAGGAGGAAATCCATCTCGCATATAAGAAAGCCTGAAATTATGATTAACTTTGTACTGAGAAAGGATGTCACTCAAAGAGTTAATAAAAGAAGCATATTGAACATTATAGTTAACATGAAGGCCACATGTGTGGACATTGTTGAACACGTTGTTAGAATCCCAAAAACCGTCAACCTTGACCATAACAAGTAAAATAGGATCCATTGTGGTAAAAAGGTTCCTAAAAAAATGCAGCAAAAGAAATATTTCAGTATGAAAAAAGACAGTTCGGACAAAATAATGACAGTTTTGTTAACAATATGACAGTTTATAAGGATGTGTACCATTGAATGACAGAACATAAAAAGGCGAAATCAAAAAATGCATATACAGGTAGGAACGTAGGACAAACTAAATGACAGTTTGGACAAAATTATGACAGTTGTGTTAACAATATGACAGTTTATAAGAATGTGTACCAATTATATACAATTACAGAACATAAAAAGGAGTAATCAAAAAATGCATATACATGACAGTTCGAACAAACTAAATGACAGTTCGAATGGCATAATTTAGGTAGAAGAATAGAGAATTTAACAAAAACAAAATAAATTGTAGATACAAACTGATATCTAAACTAGCGGATGAAATTTAATGAAATAAAACAGAGTACAACTACATACGAAATAAATTGTTGATTATAATGAATTTGAAAGCGATCATATGATGAAAGGATCGATAATATGAAATTGAAGAAAAAAACAGAGCTGGAAGGAAAAAACAGAAGGCAATTGCGAATTCAATGTAACAACGATTGAAGAAGAATTGACGAACGAAAACAGAATCACGGCCAGTATTATGAAAGCTTCAAATTTGAAGTAAACATACTCTGCAAAGAACGAAACACAGGCAGCTATGACCTCGTACTCCAAGAGAAATCCATGGCAAAAGAATGCAGGAAAAAGAATGCAGAATTGACGAACAAGGAAACTACTCGGATAAGGAAACTACTCAACCAACAAGTAAACGGAAACTCCTTAACCGTTTGAAACCGGATAACCGAAAAAGGCCGGTAAATTTCTTAACTTCGAATAGGGGTATTTAGGATATTTCCTAAAGTAGTAAAACGTAAGATAGGACCGTATAAGTCCTATTAACGAGAGAAAACTTGGTAAGTCCTAATATGAGTTTTTTAGCATGTTTAAGTCCTATTATGGCTAATTTCTTAAATATAATCTATGTACTCTTATTCAATGAGTCACCAATATTTTGAGTTGGGTCGCTAAAGGAACTATTATTGTGTACGTGTAGTAATCATATTATATTTGAGGTAAGAAAATTATTTGTCTTTTCTTCTTATATTTACATCAATCATCAACATCATAGTACAAAGCTTTATTGGTACACCAAACACGAATCATGTCTCTATATAGCCTGATTCATGTATTCCCTTTGTTTCCTTTTCAGTGAAGGGAGGAGGAGGAAATGGATTTTCCCAAGCCTCATGCAACTTCATGGGTCCAAGGTATTATGTTTTGCCAGCTTATCCTGAAATTTAGTTGTGTGGCGATGTGGAGATGTGGATTCACTCCAACAAAAGCACGAATTGACCTAGGATGCGTAGAATGTGCATTTATGACGCCTTCCTAGTAATTGGGTAACTTACATAAAAGTCAATAAGATTGATATCATGACTCATGAGCATTGACATTGGGACAACATTGTGTCCCAATTGTTGAATATGGGTAACATTATAATAACTTGGGACTATTAAAATTGGGAAATGTTATTAAAATTATTTATGTATGCTTCGTTTTACCCTAGTAACTATGAGTAAAAAACCAAATGTTTTTAATAGCCCACACTAAATGTGAAAGTATATTAGAGTATACTTTAGAATATGCTTTAGAATATATCAGAAGCCCATTTGGTAAAAAACATGAGTCGGCTGGTCTTTATATTTTGGATACATCCATCACAAAAGGTATCTCTTGTCTTGGGGTTGGAAATATGTTAGAAGCTCATTACCGATTAGGACATCCATCTCTCCCACTAATGAAGCAAATATATCCTCAGTTTAATAAAGTGTCATCTATACAATGTGAGTCGTGTGAGTTTGCAAACCATCATCAAATATTTTTTTACATTTGTTGACGATTATTCTCGTATGACATGGTTATATTTTATGAAACATCGATCAGAGTTATTTACTCATTTTTCTGCATTTTGTGCTGAAATTAATACTCAATTTAATGTTCCTGTTCGTGTGTTGAGGGGAAACAATGCCCAAGAATATCTCTCTGCTCCGTTTAAATCTTTTATGCTTCAAAATGGCATTATTCATCAAACTTCATGCGTAGACACACCTCCTCAAAATGGAGTCACTGAAAGAAAGAATCGACATCTGTTTGAAACTGTAAGGGCTCTTCTATTCTCAAATGAATGTGCCTAAACAGTTTTGGGCGGATGTCGTGTCTACCGCATGTTTCTTGATAAACCGTATGCCGTCTTCTGTTTTAAACGGTAAAGCTCCTTATTACTGCTTATTTCCAAATAAAGAGCTTTTTTCCTATCCCACCTAAAATATTTGGTTGCACTTGCTTTGTTAGACCCCAAATCATTAAAATGTATTTTCTTAGGTTATTCTCGAGTTCATAAGGGGTATAAATGTTTTTGTCCAAGTACAAGTCAATATCTTGTTTAACTCCGCCATGCGATATTTTTTTTGGTATCATGCCTGTCCCAAGCCAAGATAAAGGAGGAGGGTGATGTGGTAGGCACGTGACAGCCAACAATATCACTTAGTCACATCACATGACATGAATCGAAATGAATATCGCTACATCTAGGTCGTCGCCCGTAAGCGACACGTCATCCATCCGCCTGGGGATGGTGTCAAATGAGCAAGGGCGCGCTACACTTCATAGGCCTGATTGTGGTGATAAGAATGATAAGGCTGCTAGGTCGTCGCCTGGAAGCGACACACCACTCCAATGCCCGGTGATGGTGTCAAATATGCAAGGGCATGATGGGGGTCGATGTGGAGTGAAGAAGAGAAGGCAGGGTGTTAGATTGCGTTTTGGGACATGGAATGTTGGCTCTCATACGGGAAGATCATCTGAGATAGCCGAGGTTATGAAGAGAAGGAATATCAGCATAATGTGCATGCAAGAAACTAAGTGGGTTGGAGAAAAGGCACGTGAGATTAATCTCAGAGGTTTTAAGCTTTGGTACTCGGGGAGAGAGAGGAACAAAAATGGAGTAGGCATTATGGTGGCACATGATTACGTTGACGGTGTGATTGAAGTCTTTAGGAAGAACGATCACATCATGAGCATTAAGTTGATAATAGGGGATGAGATTGTGTCTGTGGTAAGTGCCTATGCACCACAAGTGGGATTTGTTGCATCTATCACTCAACAATTTTGGGAGGATCTTGAGGAAGTGGTGCGATGAGTGCCAAAGGGAGAGAAACTGGTCATAGGAGGCGACCTCAATGGGCATGTGGGCCCAAGTCGTGATGGTTTTGAGAGTATCCATGGCGGACATGGTTTTGGCACTAGAAATGAAGCGGGGAAGAACAATCTGGATTTTGCCTCGACATATGAGTTGGCTGTGATGAACACTTGGTTCAAGAAAAGAGACTCTCACCTTGTCACCTATAGAAGTGGAGCTAATAGTACCCAAATTGACTACTTTTTAGTACGGACGGCCTGGAGAACTAGCTACACTGATTGTAAGGTTATCCGAGGTGAGAGTGTCGTCACTCAGCATAGGATGCTTGTGCTTGATTTTTGAGGTAAAAAGAGAAGACGAGTTAAGGTACAAGGGGAGCCAAAGGTGAAATGGTGGAGGCTCGAGGGGAATCTCCAACAAAGTTTTGCAAACAAAATGTTAGAGGAAGATATATGGTCTATTGATAATGACGCACATGTGGATGATGTGTGGTTATCAATGGAGTCCACCATTAACAAAGTGGCGAAGGAGATACTCGGAGAATCTAAAGGATGTCTGCCACCAAAAAAGGACATTTCTTGGTGGAATGATGAGGTGAAACATGCAATAAGGACCAAAAGGCAATGCTATAAGAAATTGGGCAAAAGTTGGAGCGACGAGAACATAGAGGAGTACAAAGAGGCTAGAAGAAGAGCAAAGAAAGCTGTGAAGGAAGCCAGAGGAAAAGTGAACAAGGAATTGTATGTAAAGTTGGACTCTAAGGAAGGAGAAAAAGATATCTACAGACTTGCTCACCTTCGTGATCGTAGGACTCAAGATATCAGAAAAGTTAAGTGTGTGAAGGATGTCGATCAAAGCGTACTAATGGATGACGAAGAAATAAAAGAGAGGTGGAGGTCATACCTTGATACCTTGTTCAACGGGAATAAAGTCCAAGGTACTGATGATCTTACTATACCAGAGTGTATGGTAAATCGGGACTTCGTGAGAAGGATTCAAACAATAGAAGTTAAAGAGGCTATGAGAAAAATGGGGCGGAAGAAAGCAGTGGGCCCAGATGGCATACCGATGAGGCTTGAAGAAGTTTGAGAAAGGCATTGAGTGGCTAACACGTTTCTTCAACATGATTTGGAGAAACAACAAAATGCCAGTGAGTTGGCGGAAGAGTACTCTCATTTTGTTATTTAAAAATAAGGGTGATGTACAATAATGTGCTAACTATCGAGGGATTAAGCTTATGAGTCACACCATGAAACATTGGGAGCGAGTGGTTGAGCAAAGACTTCGTAAAAGTGTGAAAATTTCGGAGAATCAATTTGGTTTTATACCTGGATGCTCAACAGCTGAGGCCATTCACCTCTTTAGACAAGTTGTGGAGAAGTATAGAGACACTAAAAAGGATCTGCATTTGGTGTTCATTGACTTAGAAAAAGCATATGATAGGGTACCTCGAGAACTTCTTTGGTGGGCCTTAACTAGAAAAGGCATATCACGTAAGTATATCAGTATCATCATGGATATGTATGGTGCTTGTACAAGTGTCCAAACTAGTGTAGGGAGGACCGCAGAGTTCCCTGTTACTATCGGAGTGCACCAAGGATCCGCTCTGAGTCCTTTCTTATTTTCTATAGCCATGGATGAACTCACGAAGTCAATTCAAGAAGATAAACCGTGGTGCATGATGTTTGCCGACGATATTGTATTGATTGATGAGACACAATCCAGTGTTAAAGCAAAGTTGGAAGTATGGCGACAAACATTATAGAGCAAAGGTTTCAGACTGAGCCGAAACAAGACTGAGTATATGAAGTGCAAGTTTGGTGGAGGTTGAAGTAGTAGCAACAATGGGATTACTCTTGATGGTAAGGAGATACCGGTGTGAGATATGTTCCGTTACTTGGGTTCCATAATTCAGAAGGATGGTGAATTAGATGGAGATGTATGCCATAGAATCAGAGCTGTGTGGATGAAATGGAAGAATGCTTCAGGTTTTCTATGCGATCGAGGTATACTGACTAGACTGAAAGGTAAATTTTATCGTACAACAATTAAGCCAGCATTAATGTATGGCGTAGAGTGTTGGGCAGTGAAGCAATGCCACATTCAAAAGATGAGTGTGGCAGAGATGCGTATGTTGCGTTGCATGTGTGGACATACCAGAAAAGACCGCTTGAGGAATGAGGTAATCTGACAAAAGGTCGGAGTAGCACCTATAGAAGATAAGATGCAGGAGTCTCGTTTGCGGTGATTTGGGCATCTGCGTAGAAGGCCGAGTGATGCACCTCTTAGACGACTTGAGGGGTGGGGAGAAGAGGCAGAGAAGAGAGGGAGGGGAAGACCCAAACAGACTTGGATTAGAGGAATAAGAACTGATATGCGTCTTCCTGGGTTGGATGAGAGTATGGCTTTGGAGAGAGCAAAGTGGAGGGCGCACATCCGTGTGGACGATTGATGTTTTGTCTACCTTTCCTCTCTTTTTTCTTTTTTTCTTTTATCGTTTATCTTCCTTATCTTTTTTTATTCTTATGTTATTTTTATCTTTTAGCTTTTTTATACTCTTTTATTTTTTATCTTTTATCTTTCTTATATTCTTGTGTTATTGTTATCTTGTATTTATTTATCTTTATTTCATTCATTTTATCTTACTTTTTTCTTCCTTTTCTTGTCCGTCTTCTCTTTTTGGCATCAAAATCATAGATCGATTCATGTTAGCTGACCCCAAATTCTTCTGGGATTAAGGCTTGGTTGTTGTTGTTGTTGTACAAGTCGATATCTTGTTTCCACTGATGCATCATTTCATGAAAATACACCTTTTTCATCATCCAAGACAGATATTCATGGGGACAATGATGAAATACTCATTTACTCTGTCACTATACCGGAATCTACACCTTCTGTAGTTATTCCACATGTTAATGTCCTGACCCCAGACCTCCAGTACATTTGGTTTACGTCCGTCGAAACAGAGCACCAAATCACCCTCCACCAGTGACACCTGTGATTACTTATACTGATATTGGTCCGTCCTTGATCTCATGTCCTGAACCGGTACATGCATCTTCAGATCTTGTCTCTACATCAGATCTTGACCTTCCGATAGCACTACGTAAAGGTACACGGTGTTGTACTCATCCTATTTCTTCATTTGTGTTGTATCGTTAGTTATCCCCTGCCTCATGTTCTTTTATTGCTTCCATCAATTCTATTTCTAATGTACAACTCACTCCAGAAGGCATGTCGTTTGAAGACCCAGAAAGATATAGACTATTGGTTGGAAAGCTTAATTATCTTGCAGTCACTTGTCCAGATATTGCATACTCAGTGAGTGTAGTCAGTCAGTATGTCATCTCCCACAGTTGATCACGGGATTGCTTTAGAACATATATTATGTTACTTGAAGGGGACACCAGGACGAGGTATTGTTTATCAAAATCATAATCACATGAGAGAGAATAGAATGCTTTGCGGATGCTGATTGGCTGGATCTAAAGATGATTGAAGATCTACATCTGGTTATTGCGTCTTTGTTGGTGGTAATCTTGTCTCCTGGAAAAGTAAGAAGCAGAATGTGGGTTCTCAATCTAGTGCCGAATCAGAATATCGTGCTATGGCACAATCGGCATGTGAGATAATCTGGATAAACCATTTATTGAGTGAAATTGGATTGAAGACACCAATGCCTGCTAAACTGTGGTGTGATAACCAAACTGCTATACACATTGCCAACAACCTAGTGTTTCATGAGAGAACAAAACATATTGAAGTCGATTGTCATTTTATTCGAGAGGAGATACAAAAAGGATTGATCTCTACAGGATATGTGAAGACTGGGGAACAACTTGGAGATTTGTTCACTAAAGCCCTAAATGGAATTCGATTTGGTTATTTATGTAACAAGTTGGGCATGATAAATATCTATGCTCTAACTTGAAGGGGAGTGTGAAAGTGTATTAAAATATACTTTAGAATATACTTTAGAATATGCTTTAGAATATATTAGGAATATACCATAGATATCATTATTGTATAGAATCTTATATAGGAATATTCTATTTGTAATGTATATTTATAGGGACTTCCACAACTATGAAATACACAAAAAATCTTTCCTCCACTCTTCAATATTATTCCAGTTTATATTTCAACACTAAAATTGGCTGAATCGACTGATTCTGCTGCAATTTATGAAGTTCTGGCTGAAGTGATTGGATTGGCTGATTCTGCTGATTTAGGAAAACAAATATATTTAAAATATTTTTAATTAAAAATATTAAGGAAAAATTATATGAAAAAATAGCTAAAATGATCCTCTACAGTAACTCCAGTCAATACAACCAGAAAAGTAACTCCAACCTTACCTTTTCTTATTATTACACAATTCAGCGCGCAAAACCAAAAGTCGTGTTTGGTGAAAAAGTTTGTTGATAAGCCGAAAAAACAAGGTCACCAAATGGGCTCTAAAATTGTTAACATTTTACATATACTTAGATGGACTTGAACATATATCTAAAAATTGATCAATTGAGTTTGATATTTTTTTCTGTCTCTAAATTTGCTTGCCTTCCAACTTTCTTCAACCCCGGTATTTTATTTCGCTTTCGTTTTCATGGTTTAAACTTAAACCCTTAGTAATGGAACCACAATGAGTGATGTTTGCCTATAAGTTTTAGTAAATGGGGACCTAAAAGTGAATTACTTATGTTTTGGGGATTAATTCGGAATAATTTTCTTTCTTTTCTCATAACTTATTTGGTTTTAAAGCCTTACTGATTTTGTTGTATCCAAGTGGCATACTTTTTGAATCCAATAGAACTACTAAGGACTGATGAACTTTCATGATTCAGTAGGTATATTAGTTAAAATAAGAAAACAACCTTGTCCATGCAGGACTGCAAGCCACATGGTGGGGTTATTATGATGAGGATATCTGGTCTATCACCTTATTGGTTTGATGTAGTGCGAGGTAGCGCTGTACAAAATTCAGTTGATATGCAATCACTTTTTCTGCTAACCGGGCCAAATGGAGGTGGAAAATCAAGCTTGCTACGATCAATTTGTGCTGCTGCATTGCTTGGGATATGTGGATTCATGATTCCGGCTGAATCAGCTGTCATTCCTCATTTTGATTCCATTATGTTACACATGAAATCTTATGATAGCCCTGCTGATGGAAAAAGCTCATTCCAGGTGCAGTACACTGCATCTATTTCTTATGTAATAATGTTTTATTCTTGAACTGTGAAGCATGTAAATGGAGAAACAGAAACTGAGATATGGCGAAGTAAATATTTTTTGAAAACATATTGGACAAGAAACACGGTGGAAATCTGCAATTAGGAATATATGTGCTGATGTGCAATTATTTTTTCTTAAGAATATAATTACTGACTGTATTTATACTTGAAACTAAAAGAAATCCAATGCTCAGAAGTTTTTTAATTTGAATATATACTACTACGTATGATTTAAATTACATTGAAGTTTTTTTATTCCATTGTAGTCCCTCCCAAATGTGTTTCCTAGTAAATGCAACCTTGCAACGCTTCATGATTTATAAAAAATCGCCCCAAAAGTCTGTATTTATGAAAATCGGTCCCAAAGTGTTCTGAGAAGTTTAAGTTTCCAGAATGTGGTGACATTTATCCCAAGAGTTAAGTGCATCATAGCTCTTGAACTCAGAATAAAGTGTCATGAAGAATTACTTGTTACAACTCCATATATTATGATGGGGTAGCTTTGTTTTGTTGATTATTTTTGCACTTTGTTTGTTTTCCATTGCTGGTCCAGATTGAAATGTCTGAAATACGTTCCCTAATTAATGGATGCACTTCAAGAAGCCTAGTACTTATTGATGAAATATGCAGAGGAACAGAAACAGCAAAAGGAACATGTATTGCTGGCAGTATTATAGAAACTCTGGATGAGATAGGCTGTTTGGGGATTGTATCAACCCACCTGCACGGAATCTTTGATTTGCATTTGAATACCAAAAAGACAGTGTGCAAAGCAATGGGGACAGATTATATTGATGGTCAACCTGTACCGAATTGGAAACTTGTGGATGGAATCTGTAGAGAAAGCCTTGCATTTGAAACCGCTCAGCGAGAAGGAATCCCTGAAAAGATAATTCGTAGGGCTGAACAGCTCTACCAATTATATTATTTTATGCAAAGTTCATCCTTAATGAATAGAACCTCTGAACCAAATCGTTTTACTGTTCAACCCAATACAAGTAGCAGTGATGAAGTGGCTGACAAATTCAATGGTTCAAAAGAAGAGTTCATGTCTTCCACGAGAAAATCAGCAAACATAAAGAAAATCATTTGGAAGGAACTAGAAAATACTATTACCACGATTTGTCAGGAGAAGTTAATGGAACTCCAGAAGATGAAACACCCGTCTGAACTTGCTGTTAAGTGTTTTATGATCTCTGTGAGAGAACAGCCCCCTCCATCGACCATTGGTACTTCAACTGTATATGTGATGCTTAGACCAGATAACAAACTTTATGTTGGACAGGTATGTTCTTTTATTTTAAATTTTTTGCCTTATGGTATGTCAAAGTTCCAATTGCTTTTAACATTCACAAATATGTTTTATAATCCATATTTGCAAATAAAAAATAAACAATGACTAAAATATTACTCCAAGAGTTTCAATGAACACAAATATGATGAACATTATTTTGAACATAAAATTGACTTAAATGATCTCTAAACTTAGATCTATCACAATCTCTCCTCTCCCCCCCCCCCCCCCCCATCAACTTCCCATCTGCCATCGCTGCCCTTTCCAGCCCTCTTGACGGCAGCCATTTTCCAGAAAAAGTTGTTGGAAGCTGCTGCTGGTGGTTACAGTGACTGGTAGTGCAGTGTCGATGATGGGATGTGGTGATGTCCTGGGGTTGAGGTAGTGATGATGATGGAGTGTCATTAGGAGTAACATATTAAAAGTTACATATGCAGCACTCTTGGAATATTTAAATAGTCATATTTTCGCCTATAGTTTTTCCTTGACTTTTGTCAAGGCCCCTATAAAAAATTGTAGATTTCACATTTTTTCTACGTTAACTATTAAATTATAAGTCTCCATTAAACCTGGAGCTGTGTTTGTATTTTCAATTTTGTATTACTTTAAGGCAGCTTTTTCAAACTTATTTGTTTAAGTTGACATTTCGTGAAAAAGAAAATGACTAGATCATGGATATCTTATACTCCCTCAGTCCCGTAAAGGTTGGCCAAATTTCATTTTTTGGATGTCCCAAAAAGATGTCATTTCCATTTAAAGTAAGGAATATGTGGCTAAAATTAATTCTCTCTCCTCTGCACAAATTTCAACCACATAGTTCTTACTTTATTAATCCACGTGAAAGTCAACTTTGGCCAACCTTATCGGGACGGAGGGAGTAGCACGCTTCCTCAAAATTTCCAAAAACCAACCGATTATGGCAGAAGTTATCGTTCATGATATAAAACGGTTGTTTATAATGAAAGTGATCTCAATCTCAATTATGTTCTCACGTGTACCAAACACAGAGTGACGATCTTGGGGGCCGAATCCGTGCTCATCGCTCAAACGAGTTAATGGAGAAGGCGAGTTTCCTCTATTTTTGTGTCCCTGGAAAAAGTGCGGCTTGTGAACTGGAAACTCTTCTGATAAACCAACTTCCCAAGCATGGTTTTCAGCTAATTAATGTTGCTGATGGTAGACACAGAAATTTCGGAACGTCTCACCACTCCTTGGAAGCAGTGCCAATATATAGATTAACTAATTCACCGCATTGATGTTAGGGTCTAGCTTTTGTATAGTAGAAGTGTTTTTTTTTTCGCACAATTTTTGCTCATGATTTTGGGGGGCTTTGTAGGTTTCAACAGGGCAGAGTGGCTGCAGCAGTTTTGTTCAAATATTATTTGGTTGCTCCACTCATTATTCCATCCTGTATCTTTGTTGCCCATTTAATTGAGAAAGCGTTCTGCTGCTATATTATAATCATTTTTAGGTATGTACATAAAGATCATATCTACTGGCTTGCAGATGCATTTGACTTGTCTGGCTTCTGTTACATTACTGGAAAAAGGTAAAAAGCCAGATTTGTCACAATTCCGATATCAATTGTCATAGAATGGAACTACGAAAGCTTCTAATATCAGTTTACTTTCAGTCTAAGTTACAACAAATCATCTGGAAAAATTGATTGCAGTAATCCGAACATGCATTGTCCATTATTAATCGGTCTGATTAGAAAATGTTCACTCCCAAGTCCCACCAGCTATTGCCTGTATTTCTTTCCAAATTCACACCAGGTCACCCTGTTTGAAAGTCACCCTTCAAGAGTGTCACGAGTCTCCCAAATTTTCATGTTGCTGCGGCATTGCAGGCAGTACGGGAAGCTGCGGCATAGTCCTGACCAAGTCCTAGGAATGAGTCTAGAGCTTCTTAAGAGAAAGGGACGGAATTTCAGAGACTAAGAGAATATTCTAGACTCATGGATACTTGTATAGTTGTATAGAGTAGACTAGAATATTCTAGAATATCATAGAATTGTATAGAGTACTCTAGAAGTAAATCCTAGCCTTTAGATCAAGTAGATCTAGACCATCCTTGAGGAAGAGGATAAGTATAAATACCCTTCAAAGTTGGTTCATTTGTACATACAGAACTTTGAGAGCAATACAAAGTCTTTATACGAGTTTCTCCACATTCAATCTTACTTGGAGCTAAACTCTAACCAAGCCCAGGTGTTCTCGTTTCCGCAAGAGTTAGGTTGACTAGCATAAGTTTGAGTGAATGCGCTAGTGTCGCATGGGTCTTAAGATTAAGTCCGTGACAAGAGTGACGGAGGGGATGTTAGGATAGAAGTTGGTAACGTGGCAAAGATGACACATAATAGAGTTGCTGAAGTTGGGCTTGTAAGTTTTAACGTAAAATTGATGAAGTAAATTCAAGTTAGGGAAGATGATGAGGTTTGGTCAAATGTTGTCTATCTGAGGGAGCTTGTGCTCTGTGTGTTATCTAACATATTTGACTTTATCCTGCCAAAAAGAAAAAAAAAATCGACTTTATATGCATATGACTTAGCCAGGGGCGGCTTTGAGGGCAGTTGGGCCAGGCAATTGCCTTGGGCCTCAACTACCAAGGGCGCCTCCAAAAAATTCTACTCCAGTATTAGTATTAGGTGTTATTCGTAAACCGCCAATACACCAAGCGACAACTGCAAGCAGAAATCAGCTTTATAGTTCACTTTTGACTATTTGTCCTTCATCAAAGTTGTAGCTAATGAAGTCTTCTATCCAACACAACTTGCAAAACTGGATTTGAATCATCCAATAAAAATATATGAATAAAATGGTGGAAGGTCGCATTCTGAACTCTCAACAGAGACCGTCTGACTTCATCGTCTGTTTTCACCTTGCTTCTTTCAGATTCTCAAAATGGTGTCTTCATATGCTTTGTAGCCCTTGAAGTTGGCGTTCATATGAAACTTGAATCATGTTTTTTGGATGTTCCTAAGAAATGATATGCTTGAACGATTGACAGAACGTCATCCTGACCGTTGTTTTCAAGCTCTATTCGTCTTCTTTTGATCCCGTAGCCAATTCTAGAGCTCTTTTGTCTTCAAAACTTTGTCTTTAACATCTCACTGATCTCCAATGCTCCTAATCAACATGGGTCTTTGGTTAGTGAATCAACTAAGACTCTTTAGCTCTTCTCTCTGAGTCTCGTTCTTGAAGTCTCTTAATACTTTTACAAGTACAAGTTTGCCTTGTGTTTTGAATAAGTTTGCATTTTAAAATTTATCCTTTTGAATATTACAAACATTATATCGTGGACTTTGAATATGCTTTTTTTCATGAGGCGATTCTTATTCAATTTATCTGATTTTAAAAGTGATTTGTACATAGTAAATATTTTTCGTCTGGGGCCTCCAAAATGCTCAAGCCGCCTCTGGACTTAGCTAACTTTGGATATCTTTTTGGGGGAAAAGGGTCGTCCTCGAACTTACAAAAAAAGATCAAATAAGACTTATATATGAGGTTCTGTCCGGCCGTCGCCATTTGGGGCGGCTCTCGGTAGACTTTTTTGATAATTTTTTTGACCATCTTATTAATTAAGTCTAGTTCATTCATACCAAATTTCAGCTAAAAATTAAATCAGGAAGACATTCAAATTAATTCTTGAAGATAATTGCGCAGTTATCTTCAAGAATTAATTTGAATGTCTTCTCAAAAAATTTCATCAAAAAATTTTACCGGAAATCGCCTCAAATGGTGATGGCCGGACACAGCCTCCTCCTATATAAGGGTTTATTTGACCTTTTAATGTAAGTTCGAGGACCTATCGGACCATTTCCCCCCTTTTTTGGAGATTATTTTACACGCTTTTTAAGAAAATAAAAACTACATCCTTCGTTTGGAACTAAAGCGGAGATTGAAATGAATTGTTAGTTTCCAATTTCACACTAGCAAATCATAACAAGTACTATCGTATTTTACATGGGCAATTCTAGTGCAGTTTCCGGTGATTTGAATTCAACTGTTTTTTCTTTTCCCAAGTAATAAATTGAAACAAATAGAGTGCTACTACGAAATATCTAATTTTCATTTCTCGTTATCTCTTAGTACACAAGAAGAAAAATTCAATAAAAAGGCAATATTAGGAAATTGCCTGAATTTAATTTGTTCCTTATTAGCAGCCAAAAACACATGATTTCAAATTATATTAATGAGTCTCTTATAATGTGTTTCCCATTAATGTGTACAACAGATACTTAAAGAACACATAATTCTAAATATGTGTTTAAATGCCAATTTGATAGGGATTGCATCTTCCATATTAGCGGCCAAAATACCTGAACTTTAAATGATATGTAATATTTACAAAATGGACGTAAATCCTCAAGTGTTTATGCGTTCACAATATTTAAGCAATGTATTTAACAACATAAAATTACAATGTGAAACTAAGATTAATATTGATGTGGAAATCACCCATATATAGAGTTTATTATGTTTAGCTCACACTTGGAAATCACCCATACATTGTTTGACACTGTTTTTGCACTGTATTGATGTAGATACAAGACTGAACCTCTAGATGAGGCAAAGAGGCAACTGCCTCAGGCCCACAAATTTGGGGGAAAATTAGGGTCCAGAAATTTTTTAGTTACCTTTATATAGAGGAAAAGTTCATGTCCGGAATTCTGAACAGGAACCGCCGTCGGGACGGTAGCGTTTGGTCGACTTCCCTGTGGAATTTTTTGATGAAATTTTTATAGCATGTTCCTCATCAAATCTAGTTTATTCACAAAATGTTTCAGCTTAAAATTCAATCGAAAAAGCCATCAAATTGTTTTTGGAAGTTAACTGCGTTTTATATGTATATTTTGGCACATTTATCTTCCAAATATCACTTGATGGCCTTCCCGATTGAATTTTTAGCTGACTTTTTTGTAGATAAACTAGACTTGATTAGGAACATGACATAAAATATTTTAACAAAAAAATCCACCGAGAAGGCATCCAAACGCCTCCATCCGGACGACGGTTCCTGTCCGAAATTCCGAACATAAACTTTCCTCCCGAAAAATTTCTCAGGGCCTTTTTTCACAGTTCGACTCAGACCAAAAAACTCTTAGGATCGGCCTTGAGTAGATAATTTGCCAAATAAGGAAGGTAGAAGAAGTGTAAAAATTATTTTAGACCTACCCAAAATGGAAAGTGTGAAGTTTATTTAGAAGCGGAGGGAGTATTTGATTAGCTAAATCATTAATCATGTATTTCTATCACTAGTAGTATGATATTGAAATGATATTGAAAATTGATATTTAAATTTTCAATATTGCAATGGAGTTTTTCGGTATTTCAATTGATATTAATCATGTATTTCAAAATTAATATTAATTGATATTAATCATGTATTTCAAAATTGATATTTAAATTTTCAAATTTTCAAAATTGATATTTAAATTTTCAATATTGCAATGTATTTTCAATACCGTGTCCCACTAATCCTTTTTAATCTTTTTGCCAAACTGGGCCTTAAAGTTTGATGTCATAGTTTGGATATTTAAATTAGTTTTTCGTAGAGACAAACACAAGTTGGAAGCTTATCCATATAATTAAGTAATAGATTCATTTAGAAGAGAAACTGATCAACAAGTTGTGGTCGTGCCGGAGTGGTTATCGGGCATGACTAGAAATCATGTGGGCTTTGCCCGCGCAGGTTCGAATCCTGCCGACCACGCTTCTTTTTTGTGCCCGTTTATAAGGGAACAGACGACAATACCGCAGGGTCACTGTAGGGGGCTCTAATATTTTGTCCAACGGTGCCATATTTGATAGTTACAACTTACACATACGAGTACATACGAGTAGGGGTGGACAAAAATACCGAAAAATCGGTATACCGGAAAATATCATAATATTGGTATAACATCATTTTCGGTATGGTATGATACCGTATCGATTTATTTCGATACGGTAATGGTAAATGTTTTCAAATACCGCGATATAGCGGTCTAATACCGTGTATCAACTCTCTACCCAACAATTACGTTAAATTCTAAACTATTGTAAAAGTCCATTGCAATTTTGAAGCCCAAAATTAATACTCCATTCGTCCCAAAATGATGATCCTATATTTCCTTTTTGTGATGTCCCAAAATGATGATCTTGTTTCTTTTTTTGGCAAAGAACTAATAAAGGATTATACCTCTCCTTTTTAATGAACAGTAAAAGTAAAAGGATGAACAGTACAATAAAGTAAGGTTCTTTAGTGTTTCTACCACACTTTCTTAATCTTTGTGCACAAAAAGTATAGGACCATCAATTTGGGACGGAAAGAGTACTTATGTTGGTTACATATAATAAAGGGAAAAATAACTAAAATATCCCAAACTTTGATGGGGTGTGAGATAAGCACCCCAAACTTGCATATGTAATTTAAATACCCCAAACTTCGTATAAAAAGTTATTTTAGCACCA